AACTTTTCACTGGAGCGTTCCACAGTGTGGATTATTTTTATTTCATTCCCTGCTCTTTGTAAAGATTATAGCCTATATCACAAAAACATGGGCTGAGAGGGACCTCTGGAGGTCCTTGATTTCAACCTCCTGCTCATAGCAGTGCTAAGTTGAATAAAATGGTCCAGGCCCTCGTTTACACAAGTTTTGAAAATCACAAAGAATAGAGATTCTGCAGCCCCTCTAAGCAATTTCTTTCTATTACGAAGAATATTTCCTTTGTAGCTGACAGCACTTTCCCTTATTGCCATTTCTGACTGTTGCTTCTCGTGCTTTTATGGTGCACGTCTGGAACAAGTCCAGCTTTGCAAACCCCCTTCAGGCATCAGAAGACAGCAGTTAGCTGTCCTCTTTTGAATGACAAATAAGTCTGATTCCCTCACCCTCTCTTTGTCTGTCGTATGTTCAGCCTCCTGATCATCTTGCTATTCCTTCACCAGATTTTTCCATTTTGAATTTATATCTTGCGTTGTCTGCGAGGCCCAAAACTGGTCTTGGGATTCCAGATATATTATTCTCAAGATGCTAAGCAAAAGAGTTAACCCCTTCCTTTGCCTGCTGGTTGTGCTGTTGCTAATTCAGCTGGATGTGTGATTAACCTCTACGGCTGCAAGGGCACTCTGCTGACTTATACTTAACTTCTACCTCAGCTTCTACAGAGCAGCAACACAGGCAGGCAATTCCCACCCTATTGCAATGGATGAAGTTATCCTTTCCCACATACGTTTTGTACGTTTTATTTGTATCAGATACAAGGAAGCTTCTGGTTTAGAAGAGTTAAGTAGATTTACAGTTAAGTTGCCATACTCTTTAAGAAAAAAGACAGTATCTCTATTTATTTATTTATTTATTTATTTATTTATTTATTTATTAAGATTTTGCACTTACCAGCATTACAAGTAGATCATACAGAGTTTGTTACGTATAAAGATGACCGTAGCAATTTGTACATTTTTTAACTAAACATACCCTCGAGTGTTTTTGTTCAAATGTTGTCTATAGTCAGATTCACATAAAGTCTTCCACTCCACCAGCCGTGGGATGCAAAGCAAGAGAAGCTTCATCCTTCTGCTGTGTTTCTTAGTGGATTCCTACCATGTAGCCTCCTAGACAGTATCAATAGAAAGTAGTAAAGTAGTGTCGACAGGGATTCATACTAATGTGATTGTTCAATAACTGAAGTAGGGATAAATAAATCTTCCATATGTGTTCTGGCTTTTATTGTTTTGTTTTTAAATATTTATCTGTATCTGTTCAATTCAGCACTGGATTTATTGTCATTGGTCTGTTAGCCTGGGGATTAGAAGACTGAGGAGGGATCTAATTAGTGTTTATAGGAATCTACAGGGAGGTGGGAGGTAAATGGATGAGGCCAGGCTCTTCTTGGTGGTGTGTAGTGATAGGACAAACAGCAGTGGCCTAAAATGTGAACATAGGGAGTTCCATAAAAGCATGCAAAAGAACTTATTTACGGGAAGGGTGATGGAGCACTGGAACAGGTTGCCCAGAGAGGATGTGGAGTCTCCTTCTATGGAGATATTCATGACCCATCTGGATGCCTACCTGTGCAACCCGTTATAGGGAACCTTGCCTTAGCAGGGAGGTTGGACTCAACAATCTCTTGAGGTCCTTTCCAACCTCAGCGATTCTGTGTATATTAACAGTGTCATTTATACTTTGAGAGTGTGTCAGCTGATGGATGAAAATAAAATCAGATTCCTTTAAATATGTGTTAGTATTTCAGACATCTTATTTAATATCAGATAAGGGCCTAATTCTATCCTGGTTATGATCTTGCTGAATGACAATTTCAGCAAGGTCACAAGAACTTCCTATGTGTTTGTGACTGTGGGGGACTGTTTTCATATAGTATATTAGTCCTGAAAGAAATAAGCGTTCTATTTACTTTTATATAATAGGCTTCAATTCTTCCAGTAAGTCTGTTTGAAAACTATTTATGGTATTAGTATGGAAATTATATATTGCACGCTAAATGGGAGTCTTGCAGCCGAGGACTATGACAGGCATCTCACTATTTTAACTATGGTAGCCCAGTTGAAAAACAACACAAAACACAGCTGGATGTAATTGTATTGAAAGACATACTTATTATGTTAATAGGGGCATGTGAATAAAATGAAACATTGTCCAGCAAAGCAAAGGTTTTCCAGCAAAGACTCTGAATCACTTTGGCAAGATGTTCAAATGAGGCAACCTTTTATTTTTGTTTGAATTGAAAATATGTTTGGTATTTATTCTTAAATACTGACAGATGAACTGTGGCAGCACCACAGAAACAAGAAAACTCATGTCAAGAATCAATTTAATAAATATTCTTTAATTGAGAATAAAGTATGAATTATGATCCTGAATCTTTTAGGTGCTGTAATTTGAATCACATAATGAAAACACTCTGTAGTGGTGACATATGTGCTGAGCCCCTGTTACCCTGACTTGTGATAGTACTGTGATAATGCCTTTCACTGCCTTCCCCTGCTCAGTGAAGCTTACTGATTTTCCTGCCTATATCATTCTGGTGCTGCTTCTGCTGTGCCACAGCAACATAACATCACCCCAAGAGGTTGTAAACAGCCAGCTTTCAGTAAGATTCTACCAGATGCTGTAGAAGTTCAGTATTGGATTGGCTTTCCTTCTAAACAGTGCAGGCATTGCCCTTCTTCCAATCCTACAAGTTCCCCAGAATTTCTTATTTTCATCGGTCTGCAGAACTTGTAAGTTACCTGGTCAAAGTGCTAGATCTGGTTATGCCAATTCATTGCTAGTGGACTTGAAATCTTTCAAAACAAGACGCCTCCGATGAGTTTTATGTTTTGTTTTGTTTTAAGACATGTTTTTAACAAACCATAACTGAAGACTAAAAAAAAACCTATAACAGTTTGTACCTTATGTAAGTGTGCCTGCTATTCAAATAGCTGCTTTCAGGGGCTGAAATACTGTTAAAAGCTCGAGTCTTCATGGCCAGCTGCTGCCATAATCCTGAAGTAGATGAAATGTTTTCTTTTTAACTTTGTATCTCAGTATACTGTCCTATGAAATTGCTTTCAGCCTTTAAATTGATTGTCATGCGGAATTTTGTACTTTTCAACCTATTGTTGAGTTTGAGAGTTACAAGCCATTCTGAGATTTAGTACTCAAATTAACTTCTGTTGCTAAATAGAAGAAATGCTACTGTGGTGAAAAAAATGTTGTTTGTTATATTTTATTTCTTTATTACATAATTAAAAGATGAAAATGTCTTTGGGTAGAGCTTTATTTCCCCTAAATAATACCAACCCAACTACAACAGTGTAGATATAATAGTGAGATGTGATTCTTGACAGTCTAATCATTGGTTAATCTAGCAACGCTCACAGAGTCAAAATATTGTTAAATCACTGTCCTTCCCTACTTTGGAAAGCCACCAGGTGAGCTGTTTCAGTGGTAATAACATTAGAAAATAGTGTGAAAGAATTTATTGCTAACAGATCTGCAGAGAAGAGCAGTGCTGAAGACAGTGTATTGATTGCTGTAGGAAAAAGAAATAAACCCACAACATTTCAAATGTACCCTGCAATGGACTTATACAATTCCTCTTATGTAACACAGATAATGTTAAATTTTATGGACATTATATTTTAATGGAAAAAAAATGTCTCAGAAAATGGGTTATTAATGCTCTGTGCAAATCCTACAGAATAAGAATGCATTTGCATGCAAATTCTGCAATAAAATAGTATTCCTGGTACATTACACAGATCCAGTCTTGATATTATCCCAGTACCTATGTATATTCTTTGTAATGAGGAACTGTTTATTCTTGAAATGTAATATGAATAAAATACATATCATTGTAATATTTACAGTTTAAAAAGTGTAATTTTTTAAAAATACTGCATTTAAAATCATTCAATTTAACTTATTTTAATTTTAAATTAAATTTAATTTAAAAGCTGTTATTTGAAATAGGTTTCTGGAGATAAAGTACCATTGTCCTGTTTAATGAAATGTATTTGTTTCTTGACTGTCAATATAAGAAAGATGTAAAAGTTTTTTTTCTGTGAAGATTTACACCTGCACCTTATCAAGCATTTTGCAGAATGATGAGGAGACATGTAGGTTGCTCTGAAAGTAATGTCTCCTATTTATTTCCATAGAAACTACAACGGATAAAAAGAGCACAATAACAATAATTATGTAGAGCAAATTCTCAGCTACAAAACACTGTTTTTCCATGTAATCACCACCATTAGCTATGCATTTTCACCAGCACTGAACAAGAGCTTGCTTGCCAACAGAGGTGAGCAACTGTTGCTGTTGCCAGTGCTGAAAAACACCACCTGCCACCTCACTGTGCTTACAACCACTGTTTGATCTCCATAAATGTTCAGCATGCATTGATGAAGATCCAAGAATGGCATTTTTTCTGTATGAAGGAATTCAGTGACGCATCTTTGCTTCATTTGTATTTCCACATCAGACTGCCCCTCTTCTGCTGTCTGTCACATGGCAACTATTTACATGTAATAGAATGTTGGTGGGAGGGTTCAACTTGGACTTGGTCAACTTGGTCATACCATCAACACCCACCTCTGATATCATGAGCCAACGTAATAAAACAGGAGGCATTACTTTTAGAGCAGTCCTGGTGATTTTGCCATTAGTGTGATAATAATTCCACTTTGGCAAGTAAATTCCAAATTCCACTAAAAGTAAAACAAGACAACCTATTTTCACTAACACGTGTACTCTCACTAGAGAATAGATTTTTTACTTCTCACTCCCAGTGGGATATCTAATCCCTTTAAAATCAATAGGTAAAACTCACCTGAGAGGATAACAATTTTTAGTTGCTTCCAGAAATGAATAAAAAATGGACTTCTACAGGGAGTTTAGTACTTAAAGAAAATTATGAAAGATGAATTAAAAGAAACTAGTTCTTTCCTTTCTTTTTCTTTGAATAGCCTGGATGTGTAAACACTACTGAAGTGGATATAAAAAAGTCTTCAAGAATGAGAAATCCACATAAAACAAGAAAGGTAAGTACTGCAATTATATAAGAAGCAGGAAATGGAGGTAATTTATTGCAAGAAGTTCTGTAGTTTATTAAAATATTTTTTATTACTGCTGCAAGGAATGAGTACATGAACATATTTTGTTACTTAATAAGGTCTTAAATTAATTACTATTTACGAATTTTCTAATACTAAGTAAATGCTGTCACATAAGAAAGTGTTTGGAGGAATACCCAGAGATTATGAAAATAATTTTTTTTTTTTGCTTATGTTATTCATGTTGTTCAGTAGTTTGAATAAATGAAAATGTTTATGTTATTAGTTAAGGAAAAATAAATGAAAAAATGCAGTGTAAACTATAACAGTAGTGCTTCTTGTGCTACCTTTAATGAAAAGGTTGCCTCTATTTTACAATTTTGCATCAAACAGATGTACAAAAACTGGACAAACTAAGCTTCATCTGCACTAGTATCCTGATACAAACTGTTTTTTGTTCTCTAGGGACATATAGGTGGAATGAAACAATATTTTCTATCGAATCCTCTTTATCATAATGTAGACTGAGTCCAACTTTAAGTTTGCCTTTTGGGGTATATTTTAGTGTCTTCAAAAGGAAACTATATTATTTTCCAACTGACTAGTTTTTCCCACTGACCTTATTCTAATAGCTGTCTTTCAGTGTCATCCTCCATGTTTGCTGTGTCATTAATATAGAGACAAAATACAAGTTGATGTTCAGTGACTTTAGGAAATTGTGTTTTTTTTGTACAATTTATTGATACATAGCAACAAACTTTTATGTGAGCACATGATTTATTTACAGCTTCTTTAGAAGCTGGTGATCTGGAATAAAGTCTTGAGCACTTTATCCCAGTTATGTACTGTGGGTTTATGTAGGAAATGTTGTTTAAAAGCAACTCTCATTGTTCCGTATTTTTTGCGTAGTCTGTCTATGGCTTACAAAATGACATCCGAAGTCACAGCCCTACTCACACACCAGTACCAGAGTCTAAGCCTCCTACAGAAGATGAACTACACCAAGAGGTTTGAAAAATAACTACAAGCATTTATTTTTAAATGAACTTTTTAGGAAAGTAGGTAGTAAACCAAAAATTGTCCTACATGGGAGGTATGTTCAGAGTAGATCTGTGAATTGCTTAGTAGACCTTTTCCTTGCACCATGTATATGGACTTAGGTATGTAATTTCTATTAAAATTAATGAGACAAAATGTGACATGCTTTATATCTCAGATGAAACAGTTGAAGGCAGTTAGAAACAGTCCAGTTGGTGGGTTCTTTGCATAGCTCAGCCCATTAGCTCCTTTAGTATTACACTCCTCAATCACTCTTCCTTTCACCACTTTGATTTGAGCTATGGGGGCACACTAACCTTTCATTGTGTGCATTTATGGGTTCACACATTTATCTGTTGTTAATATTTCATTAGTCTTTCCTGAGTCATTAGAAATGGGAGAAGGCAAATGTCTGAAGAGTTAGTAGCTTTCTTCAAAAATCTAAAAAAGGCTAATTGAATTTCTTTTGATGAACCTGTAGGGAAAAATGTTACATGTTACAATGGGTCTTTTTTCTTTCTTTTTTTTTTTCCTCTATATAATCTTTCTCTTTGATGGAATATTCCATTTATTTTAGAACTACACTGATGAAGTGTTGTTTTATTTCAGATATACTTCTTTTCTGTGCCCCAGGGTAAATTACAGCCCTAATAAAAAAGTTATGGAAATAGAGCCAAGCAATGAATTACTCATAACACTCTGCTTTCCTTTCTCACAGATTAAACACTGGCAAATGCAATTAGACAGACATCGATTAAAAATGTCAAAAGTTGCAGAGAGGTAAGTATATTGTCACATCTTCTGTTTTTTCAATTAGACTGATAACTATTTGGAAAATGTCAGCATGAAATAGCTTGAAAGAAAGAGAGGCAAGAGAACTCATGTCACAGAAATAACTGAAGAGAGTTTAAGTGTGAGGTATGATTTTTTTTTTCTGATAAAAGATGGCCCAGATATTCCTGATAAATTCAAGTCACTGTAGTGGCCTCTGACCAAGTGTTCTCAAGTTTCCCCTTGCATTGACAGGGAGGCTAACTAGAAATAGGTCTGGGGTTATAGTTTGATATTTCGAAAGGGTAATCACTGACAAAGCAAGGGATCTGATTGATAGAGCTTGCTGGGTGATGAGCTCTCAGCTTGAGCAACATGGCTCTGAGCTTACATCCAACAAGAGCACATAACACCAGCAGGAATCTCTTTCCAAGTTGGAAGAAAATATGCAAGTAAGGGGCTAAACACCAAACCATTCAAAAAGGCTCTTTAGAAAGTTCACCTTCAGTTTAGGTAAAGAAAATGTCTGCTGTATCTTACGGATCATGAAGTACATGGATAAAGTGAAAACTGCAGAAAGATTAAGCTGCATAAGATCAACTGAAGGAAATAAAACCAAACACGTCTTCATCCTATCATATAGGTGTGTCCACATGTGTTTGCTTATATATACATATTTATGTATTCACATGCATTGTGTTCTGCTTGCTGAACAGTAGTGATTATGGACTAAGTACACTGTAAGCAGTAAACAACAAGAAGTAATATTTTTCCTCACTTTTCAATGATTTTCAATAATTATTAGGCAAAAAGAAAGTGGGAATTAGAACATGGGAGACGTAAAGTAACAGAACACAACATAAAGAAGTTTTTGGTTTGTTCATGGGATTCAGACCTATTCATGAACCCTGAAGTTTTTTTGAAAAAAACAACTTTGTGGTTTTTGGGGATATTTTTGGACATATTAGGAAAGTTTGTAATTTATTTTATTTCAGCTCTTGGTAAGAAAGCCTCGAAGCACGCTCTTTCTTCAAGGATCCACAAGTTCAGTGTTAATGGAATCATTAATTTTTTTAAAGCATAGCAAACATATTTTAGCTTGAGCTTGTAGGTTGTTTTGGAATGTACACGTACCTGGTTACAGCGGTTTGGTTGAGGCACAGTAGCTTCATGACTGGATAACACAATAAGGTTTTCTCTCCTCCTGACATGACAAATGTTTGATGCTCTTGTTTTCCTAGTCTATTAGCTTATACAGAGCAGTATTTGGAATATGATCCTTTTCTTGTGCCCCCTGATCCCTCAAACCCTTGGATATCTGATGACACCACTTTCTGGGAGCTGGAGGCAAGGTATATATTTTTCCTTTGTCTTTTGGGTGAAGGGTGCTTAGCAGGCTTCTCTTGAAATGTGAAAGTTTCAGGCAGAAAGAGGCATTGAAGGAAAATACTGAAGCAAAAGTAAATGCAATATCCTTTTGGTCTTTCTAGCTTCAGAAGATGTGAAGAGCTATGGATTAATAAATCTATGTAAAGTTACTGTAACCAGTCTATAGGATTCCAGTGTGGGGAAAAAAAACATGACTTTTTGAAATCTGGTAACATTTGCTAGTTGGAAGTCCTTTTTCTTCTGCAAAAGTGAATGCATTTTATCTTCATCCTGTCTGAGCAATAACAGCCTGGTTACTCATTGCTGAACTTTGCACTGATGTGAGCAATCTGGAAAGTGAGAAATTTCTGGCTGAGCTCTAGGACTTTATCTGCTATATTCTGTACATAGAGCACTAAAACACTGAAGTATTGCTGATTGTGGGTTTTATTGCTTCCTTTCCTGTAGCAAAGAGCCAGGACAGCAGAGGGTGAAACGATGGGGATTTGGCATGGATGAAGCTTTGAAAGACCCTGTGGGAAGAGAGCAATTTCTCAAGTTTCTGGAGTCTGAATTCAGTTCAGAAAATTTAAGGTGAAATACTTTATGTTTTAGTAGCTCCTAAGATACTTCTTATTTTCTTATTAATATTTTTGGATGACATATTCTTTCTTGATTTCAATCCCATCAAAAGTTATCTTGTGTCTTATGCTTTGGAGTCAATTCATGTGGATTGCTGCCGGTTTTTATATTTAGGTTGAGACAAAAACTAATATAATTAGCAGAGACTCGCATGAAATGGTCTCCTATTCATATTCAACTTTTGGTCCAAATACCCACATAAAAGACTTTCTCTCAGCTCATTCTATTATACAGCATTAAAACACTGACCCACTTAAAACCTATTCAGTAGCTTTTATTATGTTTGTTTTTATGAAAAAAGTAAAGTTTTAAAGAAAATTTGTTAAAATAGATAAAGTATTTAGAAATAAAAGTTAAAACTTTCACTGTTGGTCCTGTTTATGTGGATTCTTGGTCTCTTGAAAAGCTCCACGAAGATCATATGGATCAGACACAGAAGTAATGTGATGTTCACCTTTCAAATTCCTTACTAATTGCAAAATGCAAACTTGTTTTTAGTGTATGAATCTTAAATCACACATGTATATAAGCAGTATTATTTCAAAAAGATTATTCAAAGTACTATTCCAAATATTTCAAGAGAAATATTCTTTGACTTAAAGAAATAGTATTCCATCCATTGGCTTTCAGCATATCTAGTATTGCTGTTCTGAGGAAGTCTTATGGTAGGGATTACTTCAGAGGAACCAATAGCAGTATTTCGACTGATGAGTCAGACTGTATATAGCACGTAAGCATGTATGCCACTATTTTCTCTATGTTCCATCTTGTCAAATGTCATCTGTACCACTTCTCATTCACCAATAGCATAAGGAATATAAAATCCTATTTACTTACATTACAAAACTTAGAAAATTCCTGAACCTCATTTTTGTGTGTGTGTGTGCCTGCACTTAGTCCTAAGCGGTGCAGTATAACCTTTCCTTTTCCTTTACATAGCATTAGAGTTACCTTTACATAGCATTTTACAAGAGGCATTTAGCACTTTGTGGCGTTGGTTCCTTAAATGCTCAGTAATTGCACAAACCTCCTTGTTGTTAATTTAGGATTAACTGCGGAATAACTAGAGATGGATTTCTCTAAGTTGCTGACCATGTTCATACTTTGAACTTTGCATCACAAGTATATATTGTGTACTCTATACCTTATATTTCCCAAATGACTTTTTTTGACTTTACCTCTCTGGAAATATAGCTCAAACATGGAAATATAGCCTGATTTCCATGCTGATAAGTTCATTAGTTACATATAAAGATTTTTTGTTAATTAACAAATCCAGTGATGAACTCAGCATGATACCTAAAGAGGGAAAAAATCATTTTTTCACTCACAAAACATCCTGGCAATTCCTTACGCAGAGCAGCTGTTCAAACATAAACCTATCCAGCCTGGTATGTACTGCAGTTTCAGTGTGTTTCTGTGATTCATTTGTCTCTCTGCCAACTACAGTGTTACCCACATAATCCCCAGCTCTTTTCTCTAATCCTATTTACAACACTAACCACAGGCAAACTGCAAGTGACTGATCCAGAAAAATACACTAGAGAAATTTGTTCAGAGCTGATTCCTTGACATGCCATCTTCTCTTCCATCTCTCTAGATTTTTACATTGGTATTATAAAATACCTAACAGCAGCAGTGAATATGAGCTTAAAGGCTTCATTGGGAAGAATCGGGCAGAGGATCAAATTCTTACTTTAAAGGGGCTTTCTGTGATATTAACTGAAAACTGTCTCACAAGCTCTGAATTATATTTATGCGTTCTCAAACTGGGGAAATCAATCCACAGTTAAGCTCAAACAGTAAAATCAGGTTACAAAGCATGAATTTGTAAGGCTCATTGTATATGAGAATAAAAATATTACAGGTCACACTAAGAGAAATTAACAGCATTTGGGGCATGGTGGTTTCAAGCGTTATTATTAGAAAAACCTTAAATTTAAAAGACTACCTGTTCGTTTGCTCAGTTATTAACCTCACTACAGCAATTTGTTTTTTCTTATTTTTGAATTTGACAGCCACCTTGAACAAAATGTTTATTTCCATTCACATCTTCCTACTGCAACAGTGTGAATTCAAGTCAGTAGCTAGATCTTATCCTTCTACAGTCATAATCAGTAAGTGCCATTAAACTCAAGGGAGGTAATACAGCTGGGACTGTGGATTCAAGTTACCCAGTACAGTACAAGAGATACTCAAACACTACAGATAATCTAATTGATTAGAATTCTTATACCTCACTTCAAAACAAATAATCACAAAAGCCCGAAATGTGAATCAGTTGTTAAGTCTACCATATACACCATTTGTATTCAAGTGTAATTGTCTAAGTAGTTAAATGTCCCAGTATTACTGTTTCATTGACTTGAACTGAGAGTGCCTAAACTGGCTGAGAACCTGAGTCTTAGAGGATATAGATTGCGTTTTGAGAAACAGAACAGGGATAAAGAAACTTGAGTCATGAGTTAAAACTAAGAACTGTGCAATCTGATCTAAATGTGTATGTCCTGATCTAAATGTGTATGTTTGGTGGCCCTGCTAGGCAGAGGGGTTGGAACTACATGATCCTTGAGGTCCCTTCCAACCCGGGTGATTCTGTGATTCTGTGAATCAAGGGGAATGCAATCAGAACTCACTTCTTTTTTTCTGTCCCTCTCTGTTGTTTTTCTTTCTTTGCCCATAAATTGGAATTAATAGTATTTCCCTCTCCAGGGGTGTTGTGAAGGGTAGCAAAGGAATGCTCCTTCTGAGGGAGATATTGAGTAAAACTGTAAGCCATCTCATGAATCTAGTTCTGCTTGATCATTTAGCAGTGAGCTCTTCAGAAAGCCTGATAAGGTTTATCAGCATGGCAGCTTAATTGCAGTGTGATTGAGTTTTACTAACAGCCAGAATGGATTCTTCATTCACCTAACATATCTACGAGTTGTAATCTCTCCTTATCATGCAGCTGTTTTGAATGCATCACTTTGCATACAGTTCACTACAAGAGAGCAAACAGCTGAAGTTTGGATAATTTATAAAAATTCCCACTGCGTATTACAAACATGGTGACCAATATTCAGAATTCATGAGATTTCAGTTTTGGCATGATCCAGTGCTACTGAGTTCAGTTGCAAGGCAGTTCAAGCATGGGAAAGGAGATTTTCAAAGAGTAACCTAGTGAAATGAATCTTACGGAAACATGGCACCTGGAAACTGAATTTCTTCACCTCTGTAGAAAATTTCCATTCCTCTCCCTACCCTTCTTTTGTCTTCATGCTGCAGAATTTTTTGGAAAAATAGCATTCGTGTGAACTGTACGTTTGCTCCTACGTGGTTGTTTTGTAGGATTTACCAACGATTGGAAGATCTAAATAATTTCAGTGCTGCCAATCTGAAAACCTGTCACAGTCTATGATGCAGTACTGCAGTAGGGGTGATCTCCAAAGTTGCAAAAGCCTCACAGGTTAATGAATGGAGGACAGTGACAGAGCGTCTTCCCTGATACACAGAAGCAAAAGCCACTGGACCTGTTGCCCTTTCCTTTGACCCTCATTTACTATCTTCCATATTGAATGAACTAGTTAAGGAAAAGAGGCACTGAGTTCTGTCTGTTCAGAGAAAGGAAAGGGACTGAGAAATCAGTTAAATTAAGTTTTCTTTAAGTGTTTTCTCCTGATGAAGTTGGATGTGCTCAGACCTCTGCAAGCTGAGATTGTGTGAAATTTTTATCATGGACTCCTAAATTGCTGTAAAAATGTTCTACACTGGAAATAGAGGCTGTGATTATGTCCTATAAAATAAATGAATTAAAAAGTATTACCAAAATGTGTAATTTTTGCCCACAAATTGTTTCAGTCATAGTGCTTAATTTTATGTTTTATTTACTCCAGGGTACTGGTAATTTTTTTAATTACAGCATGACAGTACTTTTCTAGAGCACTAGGGGGAAAATGGTGCAAGAAGCAAAGTTCTTTTTCTTAATCCAGCTTGTTTCTTCTTTTGTCGTTCTTTGTTTTTGATGATCAGTCTTCACTAACAGGGAAGTTATAAAGGTATGATGAACAATCAACTGTACTTGATAGTGTAGCAAATCTGAACAGAAGCACTGGTAGCTACTTTCTTTGAGGTACTGCTAGTGTTTATAACTCATACCGTTGATTATGAGACCTTGTTCTAAGTGCTAATGTGGCCAAAATGTAATCTTTGAGGCTGAAATTACCTGTGCTTTACTTCTGTTTCAGTCAGAAGTGTAAACTCCCAAGTCCCCAAAATATTGTAATTTCTGCAGATCAGAAGACACTAGTTGCCAGATTTAATTCCCTCCCATTTTTTTGAAGAACTCTTGTGCTACTATATTTGAAGTTTGAAGTTGTATTTGGCAAGCAGGTGGTTTCTAGGAGTCAAAAAGTAATCTTTCATGCAGCCAGAAAAAAATGCTAGCTGTTTTTCTCAATGCAATTTGTTAATGTCTTGCTGAAAGTGCTGAGGTCTGTCTCTGACCTGTTGTGACACATACATGGGTTGCAAAGCCCATGGAAAACCCACCTTGCTTTCTCAGTGTTGCTTAATTCTCGCACATTTGTTGAGAATCACTGCAGCTTTTTTCCTCTGTCTGTGTTTTTATGTTGCTATGTGCTAAATATAACTGATTAGCTTAATCTGGGATCTGCTGTTGGCTGCCTCAGTCATTTAGGTCAGTTAATGGGACAGAAGCTGGGATGCAGCTGTGCTATTTATCTGGCTCGGCCACCCACACTTTGAAAGTTTTCCAGCTGGAGGACGTAAGCCCCAGATGTCTTTCAACATGTGTCCTATCATGTTATGTGGCTGGAGGTACAATTCTCATGCTACACACTCTCACTCAGCCATACATCTGGCTTGTGACCCAGTATGACACAGCCTAAATGCTGGGATGAGCAAAGCAGCAAGGTTTATACCCTGACCCTCAGACTGTCTATTCAAATGGTACTGAGCATCCTCTAGCAAGGGTCTCCATGACTGAAGCTAACCTACATGAACAGGATTTTCAAGTTTCATTCAAGGAAAGAAACAAAGCTCTAGTTCCTTCTGTGAAATGTAGAACCAAGTCTGTGCATAGATTTGTCCAGAAAATGCACTTGGAATTCCCTCTATCCTCTCTTCCCCTTTCGTGTATTTACTGTTGCAGACATACCCTTTGCTACTGGAGTTTTACCTTGCTCTAATCACAGCCCGCAAGGCAGAGGTATAAAAGCAGACAGGTGCATCTTTATGAGGCCTCTGCTGAGATCTTGCAGAATCCATTTCCACTTCCTTCAATAATCTGTGCTTTTGATAGCCATGTGATACTCAGAAATGTTATTTTAGAAAATGCAAGAGGTAGCAGCCTCATTTTTGGCTTTTCCTAATTTTGCATATTTGACTTTAACTCTTATGTGGGAGGAGGGTAAGCCTTTTTTCTTAAACATAGATTAAGAAATTGAAAAGTAGATTAAATTAGTGAACTTGGTTTTGGCTGTGAATAAGCTTCTTAGATGGAGCATGCTGCAGAAATCAGCATTTTCTTCATGCTTTTAAAGTGTTTTCTATATTTAGAGCCTTGTATTTCCAATAGAGCTTTTAAATGCTAATGTTAGAAGGGTGGGATAAAATTAATTTATTGAAAATCTGATGTTGAGCCTCTAAGAATGTATCTATGCAACCTTGCTGTTCCATACTGGAAGCTTCTTGTTTACTCAAAGAAGTCCAATTTATCTCCCATCTGTTTTCCCATAATTGAATATAACCTACTGTATGGAAACAGTTCACTTGAGAAAGAAAATAGCATCCTAAGGCATACTTGTAGTGACTTCCAGAGATACTGGCAGTCATATAAAGGAACAGACAAGAATGTGACAGCTTTGAGCTAGATACTCAGGCTGTCTGCAGGGTGATAGAAAATGTATGTTTACAAAGAACATCCTTCTCTTTCATTTTTCTGTTCCTTACCTGACTTTGATACACATGAGTAATCAGTCAGTCCCAGAAGATGCATATAAAGGGGTTGGCGCTGCAGGATATGCACTTTTAGATGCAAATATTAAAAGTAGCTTAAGGAAACCAAAGTAGGTTGCCCAAATTTGACAGAGTGAACTGAGTTAAAGTTTCTGAGCTGTGCCGTTTTAAAACTTGAGTTATGAGGCCTTTATACATACTGCATTGCCGTCAGATTCCCAGAATATATCTGTGGGCTTTGTGCAGAACTGTTTTCAATTCATATTGCAGATCACACAGATAAGTGGTTCTACTCAGAATATTTGAAACTAAAGTTTTTTTCTGTGTTGGCACAGACTCTGTGACCTTGGAGAAAACACTGTACATTATTAATGTATTTGCGAAACTGGGACAATATTACTTCTTTATCTCTTGGAGAATTTTATGGGATTAACAGGCTGAGAGGCTGTGTGTAAATACCATGCAACTGGAAGGTGCAGAAGTGCCTAAAATAGTCAGCTCGGTATTGTGACACTGACTCTAGTGGCTTGGAAACCATGAGCACGGGCTCCTTCCATCCAGCACACTATAAAGCAGTTTTGAAACAGAACTGAAGGATTAATTGCTGCCCAGAAGGTAAATTATCTCAACTGAAGAATGTGTCATAATAGGAATACTCTAAGTTTTTCTTTAAAGTGCTTTACTGTCTCTTATGATTTGTTGCAGTAACTATAATATCACTTGGACTTAGTGTGGTATTATTTCATTTACCTGAACACCCATCCACAATTCCTCTCTCCAACCATTCACTCTTGGACAAAGCTAGGAGATTTCAGTTTGATTTTATGTTTTAAGCAGGATTGAACCACATTTTAAAGGTCCACCTAAATTAGCTGTCAGCCTTGTAAAAATCTGACTTGTTTCACACACATCAGCCGACCTGTTTCATAGAGCCAACCATATCAAAACAATACTGAAAAGTTGTATCTTTTGCAGTGGTTGCATATGTAACATGATAAAAATCATACTTTAATTGGGCTCTCTGAGGAAAAAAGAACACAACTGTGTAAGGGTTCTGTAGTGTACATAAGCATGACATCCTGATTTAATTTAATTGAATTTTGTGCAGTGAGAGTTCTAATAGCTGTAAGAGAGGTAACAATTAAGAGCTCCTAATAGGAAATAACAACAGATTAACAAAGTTCATAGCTAGCTGGCTGTGATCACAGCTCGATCAAGCTCATTCTAGTGATCCTTCTCTAGAATGAGAAGGATGACTGTCACTGTGGTTGCATGATGCTGGTTTGCTCTGCAGCAGCAGGAGAATGGGTGCTTCTGTTCAATGCTGCAGTTAAAAAAAAAAAAGTTTAGAAATGCAATACTGAACAAATAAATGAAATTATAGAAATGCTTTTCTTTTATATACATAATTTATGGAGTAAAAGTAGGAAAACTGTCAATACAGTTATTTGGCTGATAGCTTAGCAGGACTTAGATTTACATAGATATCAGGAGCATGAGTTCTTATTAGCTTCTGAAGGAATGTCAAAAAGCAATAGGTTTATAAGTGATGTAAGACCTTGTGACTCAGGTGAAATGAAATCTCAGTTTAATTCCAGTTAAATGAAAACCTCCTAAGAAAGCTACACATACATAAGAAATGAAGCATTTCTCACCTCTCTTGTCTAGGCTTGTAATTGCTTTTTATGGCAGTTGGATTGCCTGACATGGCACCAGTCTTGATCCCAGAATAAATTGATAGATTTTACCTATTTTCACACGTTTTATATGAAACCTGTAGTTACCTTACTCTTTTTTTTTAAGAGCAGAGAAAACTATCACCATTTCATTAGTGATTATATTGAGCTGGAAGTCAAGATGATGTGTTGTGCCATAGGTTCTGGTTAGCAGTAGAAGACCTGAAGAAGAGGCCTATCCGTGAAGTTCCTGCTCGTGTCCAAGAAATCTGGCAAGAATTTCTTGCTCCAGGTGCACCCAGTGCCATCAATCTAGATTCAAAAAGTTATGACAAAACCACGCAGAATGTAAAAGACCCTGGAAGATACACATTTGAAGATGCTCAGGTCAGTTTGCAATTCTTTTTATGGAAATCTGAAACAGAATATTGGCTACTGAGATGCATATGCATAAAATAAGATATATTTGAGAATTAAACAGTAATGTTCTGTGTTCCAAACCGATATTTTGGAATTAAAATGTGTAACATTTATTTGCATCTGGATGCTTCAAGCTCAAAAAAGGGATAGGTTAGATATAAGGAAGAAAGTCTTTTACAGTTAAGATGGTGAGGCACTAGAACAGGTTGCCCAGTGATGTGGTTAATGCTCCATCCCTGGACGCTTTCAAGGTGAGGCTGGATCAGGCCCTGGGCCACCTGATCCAGCTGTGCATGTCCCTGTTCATTGCAGGGGAGTTAGACTAGATGGCCTTTAAAGGTCCCTTTGAACTCTAAGGATTCTATGAGTCTATGATTCTATGATTAATTCTGTTGATGAAACTTCTGTATCTGGAGTCTTCAACTAGGTTTGGTATGCATCAATTTCTAGTTCTCAAGATCTGCCTGTGAAGGACTTCCCTTGATACATACTCAGTGTCTTTTCTCTCAGTGCTCATCCAAAACTGCTGCTGTCATTTATAATAGTGAGGCTTCTCATCACGAAGAAAATCTGACTCATGAGAAAAAAACTTGATAGTGGCTTATGCAGAAATATCATATTCCATGGATGTTGTATTAAATTATCATCTACAGAACATCCTAAGGATGTATTCTTTGATAAGCAGTATAATAGGAGTAAAGAACAGTCTGTAAATGTCTTATCTGGCTTTTGGGGATTTGACTTAGTACATTTTTGAATACCATAATCAAAAGATACTTTCAATCAGAGCTAGGTTAAGAAGATGCTTACTTTTTGGGATGGGAGCATAAGTTAAAACAAAGCAGTAAAATACAAGTTTCTGTTTTCCTCAGGGGAAAAAAATAAAACTGAAAAACAAAAATCCCCCCCACCTGCCAAAAAAACAAAAAACTCAAAAACAAAAAACCCAAGCACCTAAATAGTAAATGAAATTTCATTTGACTCATAGCTTAATATTTTATACTTGAAGACTTCTGAGAAATACAACAGAAATAACTTGTTTCACAATAAAAGCTGTAGAACTACTCCTGCCCTCCCTTTTTCATAAGCAGCCTAGTGATGAAAATTTAATTATTAATACAAAGTGAAATGGTGTCAAAAGGAGAGATTGAGATCATATCCCTACAGAATTTTCTACAGCTTGATTATTAGGACATCAACTTGGAAGCCAGGAGATACTGTTCTAAGACCCTCAAAGCAGAAAGGAAATTGAATCTGACAATCTTTCTACTTTTTGGGAAAGTGCCTCTGCTCTAAGTAGGAAGACAAATAATTATACCAATATAAAAAGAAAGAAAATTTGTGTGCTCTCATATTGCTGTTATAATAGCAACCTATGATGAAACAATAATATTGTCATTAAACACTATATCATTCATAGTGATTTTAATAAGCCAAACAAGTGGGTGTTGCTTACATATACTGAGCCACTGGAGATTTAGGAATTTAGCATACAGCAAAAACAAGTTGCACAAATAAAAGCTCTAGCAAGTTCAGAGGTTGAAAGGAAAATACTTTTTTGCAATTGAGTCACAAAACGAAAATTTAATTCCTTGCCAGCGTCCAATTTTTGTTTCATAAAAATAAGTGTAAAGTTTCAACGTAATTTTAGTTCCAGATTTACTTCTTTTTTTTTTTTTTTTTTTTTTTTTTTTTCCTTTTTTCTCCCCTTCAGTTTCTGAAAGAGGTAAAGTATGCTGTCCATATGCAATAAAGGATTTTTTCCTGCATTCAGGCTTCTATGTATTTGATGCAGTTCAGCATACAGCTCGAGCCAGGAAGGATCCATTTTGCAGAGTAAAAGGGGCAAGCCCAACTCCAGCTTGATGCTTTAGCACCTCTCGTATTTGTGCCCCACCTGCAGTGGCAGAGTTCTGTCAGTAGTGGGGCTCTGCCTCTTGGGAAAGGGACCACTAACAACTCATTTTTGGCAGACATCAAGTCATTTAATTGTGCTTTAAAATGCTTTGAAAAGCATTTCTGGACTTGAAAGATGGTACTGTGGGATTCCATATCAAATGAGAGTGACACAAAAGTAAAAATAGACCAATTGTGCTAAATAATATCCATCCTCAATTTCCGACTTATTGTACACTAACAATATTAATGCAACCTAATTTAGTCTTTTTTTTATAGATTTTTGCACAGATATAGCATTTTAATGCCCATCATCAGTGGTATGTACGTCAGTACCAGGGTCCCTTCTGCTCTCAGTTGCCTGAATCAGCTGCTCTTGTATAAACTGAATGGAATTAAAACTCCCCAAATGAACAAGCCTGAGTTCTGACTGTATGCCAGAACTTCTTGGCTTAGTGTGGGAAGCACAATGAAAGGCACTTAGAATCATTCTCTAGAGTTTCTAACAAATCAAAGATAAAAAAAAATAAGCTTTAATTTTACATCACTATAATTTTAATTTGGTGGGTTTTTTTCTATTCATTAATTGCATGCAGTACCAACCTCAAAAACAGTATTTACTGTAGAGTTTATTGTTTCCTGTTTGCTCTGCTAAAGTTTCCTGTGGTAGAAGGTAGGGCTTAAGTGAAAAAGAAAATGGAAACAGCTAACACAGTGCAGAACATTTCTTAAAATACTTTTGTGAGAATATTTCCTGTTCAGATCGCTTTTTCTGAAAATTCCTCTTCTAACATTATAACTGGAATGAGATTATAAAATGTTTTACGGTGTAGATTTTTAGTGAGGTTTTTTTTTTCCATTTGTTTCCTTGTTTATTTTGATTAATTTATTTTAAAGTGATGAGAATGTTGAGAAGAAAAGCTCTATAAACTGCCTGTGTCACTTCTTTCTCCATTAGTGCTATCAAATTTTTATATGTCTCTGAAGAATAAATATCTTGAAAATTCGATTAGCCTGGAATTGTTTTTCAGTTTGCATGTGCATTTTCCTTTTTATATTATCAGCTGGGTAGCAGAATAAACATCTCTCAAATAATGCTTCCAAGAGGAGCCAAGGGACACCCTCTCTAGGTTAAGCACTTATCTGTAGTGCTAAATTAGAAACCTACCACCTTTTCAAGCATATCAAGTCAGAAAAGCATCTCCAGAAACGAGCTGAGAAAATCTGATGGGAAAGGATTTGAGTTAAGCAATGTGGTCGCTTAACTGAACTGACTGATGTAAGGAAGGTTTCAAACTGGGCTTTAAGATAGAACCAAGTTATAAATTCTCAGAAAAAATAATTCTGTAAGAAAATAGGGACTGTAAGTTTAAGGAAGGTGTGCTATATCCTTTATATGTAACAAATAAGTGGAATTTCTGGTTTAATGAAGGAAAGCAACTCATCTTCAGCTGAGGAACTGCAACCTCAGCTAACCTTACCTCATAACACTGCCTATTCTATGTAGTGGTAGCTGGCTAAAGATATACAACTGCCTCCTGTTTTACCTATATGTTCTTTTGTGGGAGTAACAACACTTTCTTTTCCTTTCAGGAGCACATTTACAAACTGATGAAAAGTGATTCTTACCCTCGTTTTATACGATCCAGTGCCTACCAGGAGCTGCTACAGGCCAAGAAAAAGGTATTGGTCCATCTTGCCTTTGTCTTGCCACTGTGCAAAGCGGTGGTTATGTTTGCAACAATACTCAGTCTTCTCTCCCCTGTGCCAGTGCAACTGGATATCTGGTAGGTGACCAACTTGGCGTATTTGGAGGGTCACATATACACAGGAATTCAATATACATATATGTGTATATATCTGCATGTGGGCATGTTGCAGTAACTTATTCTAGCAAAACGTATTTTTATTTTTACATCCCATATTGTACTGTTTTCTCTGTTATGAAGCACCTTAAATTGCAAAGTGCTTTACAAATTCATTAAAAAATAAAATAAAATCCCAGAAGAATAGTCTTTCATGTTTGCAAGTTTGCTTATGTAATAACTGTTGTTCTCTTTATTCCACCTGTAAAATTGACAGAATGTGTTTAGAAACAGTCTCACTCATATGAATAACTTCTGATTCCAACTATAAAAATAGGGGCTTCCTAATCCTATTTCTTTCCCTATTATTACATGAATAGTTTCAAACAGATCAGAAATATGAATTGAAAGACTGATCATGTCACACTTGTACAATCAGAGGCTCATGTATTGGCATGTAATGTTTGCTTAGAGAAGCCCACATTCGGAATTGACTCCTGAAAAGGCACAGCCCAGAGTATGTGGAGCAGTTTGTGCAATGCAGAATTCTATAAAGATAAATAATTTTATTAGAGGTCTCTAAATAGTGATCTCCTAGAATCACCTGGGAGCTGTGTGCTTGCAAAATCAGGACCCTGTCATTGCTGAAATGAGGTAGTTATTGACATCGTAGCATTCTACTGTTTATAATGACAACCTAAAATTATATGAAAGTACTGTGTGATTTTGTTTTTTGTTCAAACATTGATTTCTGAAGATCCAATATAGAGAGAAATGTTGAAAATACCAGAAAGCTACAACTGTCCGTGTGAAGTCCTTAAGTTTGTGATTGTCAGTTCATTAACACAAGATGTGCACTTCATTATTTCTTTTTATTTTCAGTTTCTTTTAAATCAAACCGTTTTGATTCCCATGAAAAATGATTTTTGTCAAATACTATATCTGCTTTGCCCATCTGCTGTTTTGCAGAGTCCCATTACAGCTTCATACCTATGTTTGCTTCCTTATTTATACAAACCTTGTTTTGCAGTCCATTGTTTCATCAGTCCTTTTCTACTCCATTTTTTCTTGCTTTTCTTTTTCCCCTCCTTTTTCTTTTAATTTTATTTTAAATTTAAGTTGGAAAACACACTGGATCGTCGAACATCTTTTGAGAAATTCACACGCAATGTGGTAAGTTTGTTGCCTCGGAAGACTAGTAAACCTGATGGGACATCCTTCTCCTTTCCCCCTCACCGAACCTTCCTTTCCCTTTTTGCTTCTCTAACCTGACAGTTAAAAGTCTGTTTATCACAGTTTGTGAATTTTCCTAGGAATGTCAGCTTTATAATCTACTTTCATTACGACCCCTCCTCCCTAGTCCCTTTCCTGCTGACCTCCACACATGGAGGAATGGAACTTTGGAACTTTGGGAGCCATGCTTTTTACACTAGGAAGCATGAAATGATTTGCTTCTTTTTTTTTAATTTGTAGTAAAGAATCTGTGAAAACCTGCTTGATGTTGTTCCTTTTTCCAGTGCCTCCCAAAATACTAAGGCTGATATAGTTTAAGTATAATGGATTTCATTGCTGTTTCTTTTTTTTTTGGTTTTACTAGAAAAGCGTTTGTCCCATTTTTGTAATTGGGGACAGCGAAAAATGAACAATAATAATTTCCCTTTCCCTATCCTCCTTAATGCACAGCTTCTTTAGGACCAAAGAATTGATGCTGATGATGCAGAAGGGTTTGATTAAGATTTCAATTTGTTTAAGGATACAGCAACCAATTATTTTTCTTTTTAATAATAATTTTGGAAATATATTTCACCAAGGTAAAATTGTGAAGGCTGGTAAATTTGCTGTGGGCATTATCTTGCCACCAGCCAAAAGATCCACTGATTGCTTGAAATGTGGGATTCTTTTTACTTTTCCGGTTTCTTTGGATTTTTTTTTAAACTTTGTGAAAGTTCCAACTAAAGCATTCAACGCATTTATTTTTGTAGGGCAGAAACATCCCTATTTTCCCATGCCATAAAAACTGTACACCAACACTGAGGGCGAGCACTAACCTGTTATGAAAAGAGGTAGAAAGATCTTGGATTCTACTCAAGTTTGTCTGCATTGTCTGTTGAATTGTGCAGTTGATGCTGCTGTGTGTGTGTGTGCATCTGTGGCTTTTTCTGTGACCTGATTAGTGGAGCTGTGTGCATTGAAATGACAAATCTGAGAGCTTTCAGCAAAGATCATGGTTTTTGTTTTTAGTTACTAGGGAAGGAGAAGCAGTTCTCAGAAACTGCCTCCCATATAACGAGACTTAAGAGCGTTTCCTCGAGTATTTAAATTGCATATACGTTCCAGTAATCAGAACAAGAAACAAACACAGTGAAAGTGCAAAGTTCTGTGAGGTTGCAGGAATATCTCACATGTTGAAACAAAACTGTAATCCTTTGACTACTTTCTTATAGGTAAAGGCTTCCTGTAATATGCTTTGAATCCACTGCAATCAGGATCAAATTTGAATTCAATGGGACAAAGTCAGTAAGACTGAAAAGTAAATAAACAGCCACAAAGGAAACTATCTCAATGTTTGAAACAAAAACCCCTATTTTTTGCATGGTGGTGTTGCCATAGCATGTTGCAGTGTGATTTGTGTGTTGTCTGAACAGGTTGATCTATACAACGTTATATGTGACAACATTATACGTAACGATTCTACTTTCTTCCATGGAGATGTTTAACAGGAAGTTCCACAGTAATAAACGAGCCTGGGTTAATGAGAGAGAGCGCAGACAGTACATCTGGGACTCCTGAGAGGCAAGATTTTGCTCATCACAGTGCCTGACAAACTACAGTATATAGGCTGGGTGTTTAAGTAGCCAGCTGATCAGGAACTGGTTATGATAAAAAGTATGTAGACAAGTGGCTGTAAGGAGAGAAATAGCAAGTTCCAAGCAGGTGCAAGGAAAACAATACAAAAAAGTGTAAAAGTGAACACAGACTGGGAGGCATTAAAGTTATTCTCTGATAAAGCATCAGCCCTGTACACCAGCACTGGAGCAGCATAGTGCCCTGCTGGCATGCCCAACATTCAGCGGCTAATTTCAGGCAGATGAGATGAGATCAGCAGGATGCTGGAGATGTAAGGCAGGCCCAATAACAAAGCTGTGAGCTAGAACAAGGGGAGTGAGGATTTCTGAATATGAAGCATTAGTACTTCATTAGAAGAGGGTGATTCTTTTCTCATGGTGTAAGCTATAATGTAAATACTGTGCATTTGCTTTTTCTCAAAGTACTGCCCTATGAATTTGGGTGGAATCTGTCAAGTTAGGTCAGCTGCAAAAGTAAAAAATATCACTTCTTAAGCATACATTCCTGATGAGATGAGCAGCTCGGAAGCTCGCAAACTTCTCCAGAATATCAGGGTTCTCAGGTACAAACATTTTTCTGTGAGAGATCTGAGTTTTTAATCCCCCACAGACCCAGGACCCCTTGCCACCAGGGATCCTTATTCTTCCATTCTTGTTCTCAGTTATGATGAGTTTATAATGTGTAATTATGTGATTCGGTACACTGGTTCTAACATGCAGGGATGAGGCAAGTGTTTCTCAGAATATCCTACTGATTAACTTGTTCTACTCTGAAGGGACAGACTGTGGTAAAAGACCTGCTCTTCTGATTAATACAGAAAACAGATGTGAAACAGGTCTTCTGCAGCTTAGCCAAATGTCTCTGAATGATTTATGAAGAAGAAAATAGTATTTTCACTTATCTTCTGACAATTTAGAAAATTTAGACTCATTTCCACCATTATTTTTCTCAATTACACCCAAGTGGCTTTGCATTGAACTAAATTAGACCTCAGTATTTTTATTTCAAATGTTAAAAAAAACCAACCAGTTGTATATAGGGACTGAACATGAGAGGATGACCTTGTGATTCATAACCTGATTTGTTAAGCTGAGACTATAAGAGATTTCTGAACCTTTTGTGAGCAGTAATTGGAAGTGGGTTATACTTGCAACAGAAAGCATTTGCTAAGCTAGAAAGTTTTAAAACTTTCTACATGCTATCTCTCGGTATTAATCAGAAAATTAAATTGAAGTCACCTAAGATAATCACTCATTATTTTAGTTTGGTGGGAAAAAACAGAAGTGAATCTATCCACACATAAAAACTAGGCTTAGCTTTGCATTTCTTTGAGACAAGAGTTTTCTTTTCAGAAAGCTTTCAGTAATTCAGTGCACTTTATGAACGGCCTATATGCACAACTAAAAGAACTAGTTATTTAGCTTGCTCTGTAAGTTATACAGCACAGTTGCTAATGCTTTTGGCAGTCTGCAACAGTGTGAATAGTGTCAGAAACATGTTTATATAAGATACAATATAGGTAAAGTAATAGCAAACTCGTATTTGCTGTGTGTAATATTTTGTCCTAAATAAAAAGTTAGGAAACTTCCTCTACCTCAAGTAATAACATCCAAACAGCATAGGAAAAAAAAAAAAAACAAAACAAAACCCACAAGTGAAGGAAGGTGCACTGATAACACTGATGGGAGAAAAGAGGTCCTTTAAGGAAGACTTTAATTTCTCCTTTCCATCAGGAACTGTGACAGTAGCAGACTGGTAGTCTCTGAGCAACACACCTTTGTGAACACCTGCCTGTGTTTAGCTGTGCTCAGTGGTCCGGAAACCCAGAACAAAGCATTTCATTTACAGCACAGTAGGCTCATTTCTTTTCCACTACATGCAAATTTTCCTGTCTTGGCAGGAGACCAGTTCACAGGGCAGTAAGGTGCACTCTTTTCCTCAGAACCCCCCTGGGGAGATGCTCCATCACTGCATGTGGGTGTGACAGCTTCAGATGCCACCGCCAGTGTCAGAGTTTTATCTGTTGCTGCTTAACTGTCGAGGTGAAAAAATGGGCTTTTTGCAAGTTTGTGGTGTTTTATGAAAACAGTCAGTACAAAACTGAGCTAACTCAGTCCATTTATTAAACCAGAGTCATCAAATGATAACAGTCTTCACTCATAGCCTCATAAGCAAGAACCCCATTTAATGACACTGGATTTAAAGCTACTATGTCTTACATTACCCATGCTCTTTCCACTTACAGCTATCTGCTTCCACTTAGCTTAGAACTTGCTTACCAGTTTCCTCTAAGGATTTTCCTCTCCAAACCAGTAAAATTAGACTATTTAATGCATGAGATAAGAAATATGAAGGCCATGCAACACAGCACATTTTCACAATCCACTGTCCAGTGTAACTTAATATGAAAAATTGCAAATTATGGTCTAGAGGTGGAAATTAAAACTCTTTAAAATAGCTTCCTCTTTTCTTTTCAGTCGGGTATAGACTTTATAGATGTTTAAACTGATGTTGCCATATTAAGAACTGTGCCTTTACTGAGAAAGGCAGATATTAATTTCCCATTAGCCAATAATTTTTTTCTCCAAAACTTTGAAAAATACAAAAAACAAAAAACAAACAAACAAAAAAAAAAAACAAAACCACAAACAACTCAAAACCCAAACCCTAAAAACAATAAACTTTCATAGAAATGAACCCTCTTTTTTAGGAAAGAGATGGCTTAATGAAAAAAAAAATATATATATATATAATAATAATTGAAATTTTGAGTGTGGACTAATAATTAGTCCAAAAATCCAATGTTAGGTTGTTTTTGAGGAATGATTGTCCAGCTTAGTGAGAAAAATCAAAAGTAGAATCCCTAGGAGATGCCAGTGAAGGTTGGCCTCCTTGCCCAGTTCTACAATGATGAGCTGAGCTGCCTTGCTTTGTGCTGGGGCGGAGGGGCTGCTGTGTGGTACTGGCACAGCTGGGTCTGTCTCCATTAGGAAACAGAGTGCTCCCATTCAGATATTAGGCCAGTGACTGCCATTTCCCAGCTGACAAATATTTGCCTGTGTCCTAAGCTACTGGAAGACTGAGAAGTACAAAGTGATAATGAAATGAACTGTTTGTCGAATGCATTGTCTCCTTAGAAAATCTTAGATTCTACCCCATCCTTCCGATGGTTTTTCAAGTTAAAACTATCCCATCTGGAAAGAGCCTGCAGGTTAAGCAGGAATTAGAGCAGCTCATCAGAATATGCAGATTACTGGGGAAGGAGAAAGAGGAATTATCACCCAGTTTGGAACAAGCCAAACCAAGACTACGCAATTGCTCAGACACTCCTTTTTGTCTATGAACTGCTCCAGGAAAGGAACAGCTGCAGTGTAAAATTAGGAGAGGACTGCAAATCCCCACTATAGGCAAGTGGATTTTCCTGCACATGCAACCACTGAAGGTAGTAGTGAGAACTTGTCCCCTAAACTCAGTAAAATTCCACTTCACCACCTTCCTGAAAAAGAAATACTCTGGCACAACTGGATGAAAATCAAAGCAAAATCCTGACCCCCTGGGCAATGCTAAATCCATTTGCCTGCCTTAGAGGAGCAAGGGCTGGCTAAATCCTGACCAGAGACTTACTGTTTCTGTTCCTGTGCCTCTCCAAATGCGCTCCTGCCAAGGGCTGTTTATCTCAGCACTGCGAGTGGCACCAGGGATATCACCTGGGAACTTTGCCTGCTGATGCTGGCCAAGCTGCTGGCATTCATCATGTTTGCCACACACAAGCAGATCAGGAATAGTGAGAGCAAGGAGGCCCAGTCCTCATTTTGTCTCATTTTGCTCCCAGTAGGGTGCATGGCATTCTCCCTATTGGATATGTGGTGTTCCCCTTTCCATTTCTATGAACTGGAAATATAAGTCCTAATGAAAATAAAGAAACTTGAAAAAGGAGTGACTGAGGTTGCTTAGCAGAAAGGATAAGAATTTGAAAACTAATCTTTTAAACTTCATATTTTTCAACTCTGGTCCCTATATAGATTTCACATTGGTCTGTTATAAGTCACATATGAATTGAAGTTGTTGCTGAGTTACTTGCCAGATTGAGTTGTTGGTGTCCAGCTACATAAATAGGTCAGTCAGCATACTTGTGTTCATAAATCTGCACATACTTTTGTAATTTTCTCCTCAAGCTCTCTAAAAGTACAATTGGAAGGACAACTCTGCATTTAAAAAGTTAATACATTAATGTAGGTGAGAGAACGCTGAGGTCAGTTATTTGGTTTTCATCAATGTAATTGACTCCAGTTGTTCTGCTGCCTGCTTGTACTCTGACTCCCTTGTTGAGATACAGAATCACAGAATAATAGAATCCTTAGAGTTGGAAGGGGTCTTTAAAGGTCATTTGCATATATGCATAAAGATTCATTTGGCTGGTGTGTTATAATAAAATTGTTAAATTGTTTCAATTCATATGTCCAAATTGTACCTAAAAGACCGAAATAATCCTTTTCTCGTTTAGAATTTGGCCCTATACTCCTACATGTTGATGGCAAGAATACAACAAAAATATTAAAGATCTTCTTTTCATTCTTCAGATGAAAATCTAGTACTTCTGAATTTGTTTTCAAATGTTCTTTAATCTTACTAGCACAGCAAACAATTTCCTATGTGTGATTAGTTGTATGCCACACTTTTTAGAACTTGCCTGTTTGTTGTAGGTGACCAAATTGAAAAATTGGCTTAAGGAACAGTAATTAGCATTGTACCTGAAAGAAATAGATTCAACCCTGGGGAAGGAAGGTGGTGAATAAGACATCCAGAGAAATCCTTAGGAGAAAAACTACCCAAAGTCTTTCAGCTTACTGTGGTGAGCAGTATCTGGGGAAGAAGTGATGCCAAATAACAACAAAATTTTCATGACATCTTAATGCATCTATAGGGAAAAATTCAATTAATACATAGAATAAGATTATCAAGTCAGATCAACTAATTAATGAATAGTTTTTTTTTTGCCTGCACTTAGATCAAAAATTCCTACTTTATATAATATCACAGTTCATTCCACAGATGCCAGAATGGTTCATCTCAAATTCCATGGAATTACAACTCCTAAAGAATCAGCTGCTGCAAATAAGAAGGCAAAATTAATTCACAGATTCACAGACAAAAATCTTCATAAGATGGAAAGATCAGCATATGCTGAATATTTTCTTAGCTTATGTACAAGGCTGACAACCCTGCACCACCTCTAAAATCACATAACAAATTTGGGCTACCATCTTAAATTGTAGTAGTCCAATGCCACATAGCTGTGGAGACATTTTGGTTATCTAAAAAGTGTTTAGCTTAGTGGTTTAAACAGCTTAATTATTACATTATGGGAGAACATAATCTAAAGCTAAACTAATGCAAAAAAATTGAAATTAATGTAGGTAGAAATTCATAGAGTTAAAGCTAGATGAAGGGAGGAAACCATGCCTAGAAGGAGACATGCTGTCATTTTTTTAGAAGCAAGTGCTATTATTGTCAGGCAATATGGTGAACTTCAGAGATGAGGAATCTAATCCAACATTACAGATCGTTATTTCCCTTCAATATTATACTGTAGGGGGAAAATTCACCCTCATCTGTATGACATTTATTTCAGAGCACAAAGAGTAAAATGGCTATTCTTTTTGTCAAGATCTATTCTGGTATACTGCATTTAAGCAAATGTTCAAAACCAATTTGCATATCTCTTTGAGCATAAAATTAATTGGTAACGAAAACAGATATTAAATTGTGTAATTCCACGGCACAACAGATTACTTTACAGCTCATTGATAAAGCAGAATAAGTTTATTTACCATTTACTGCAGGTCACCTCTCTTCGCAGTTACAGTAATTCTTAGTGTAGTTTCCTTGAAGTCAGTTTGATTTTAAAATAAACAATAGATGTTAATATTAAATATCCTTTAACTGACAAGTTAGATAGAGCCCTTTACTATTTTATTTTTTATGATCTATATTATCAGGATATCCCTGTGGTGTATTGAGAAGTGCTGTAAGCTTGCTGTGCCAGCTCTGCCTCTGCTGAATTGGTGCCACAGCAGGATGGCCTGAGGAGAGCTAACTGACATTTTGTGTGGTTTTGTGGCTTTTGTTTGGCTCAGCTAAAGCTCAGATCTGCCTGAAATATGCCATCACAACATACCTACACTATCCTCTCTGCACTGTACAGCTAACTCTTGTGGGACAGAACTTCCTGAAACAACATCTCTGCAACAGGAGGACTGATGAGGAAAAAGACAATGTGAAAATCCAAACACCTTCTAAGCAATTTTAGGCAGTCCCATGTAACAAACCTGACCAATACTCCTTATAAATAGTAAATGAAGTATCAGCAAACCTATTGCAAAGTTCATGGAAAAGCTGCTTTCCTGCCTGTATGCAATCTGCCTCTTACTTTTTTACTTCAACTGTAAAGTAGCTTTCTGCAATCTGTGATGGAGCTACTACAGTGTGCACATCATCGCTGTAGCATGAGGCACCCTCACTTCTGGTGGCCACCTTCAAGTAGTTCTGGGAGTGACCAACAGCAAAGCCCTCACAGCAGTAGTTTCTTAACAGCCAAACCCAATTTCATTCAAAACTGGCCTTTGAATTTGCTGTAAACACTCTGAAACAGAATGGCTGGCTGGCAGCGCAGGCGTGCAAGTGTAAGGGCTTCCTGTGGTTTAGGATTTGACAGACTCCAGTTGGTGCCCTTAGATATTTGACAGTGATGTGGCAACACTGAGTGGTTGCTGATGAACAGGTTTGCAGTGATCATGCCTCTGTTTTCTGTTTTTGTTTTTTGTTTTTATCTTTTCCTCAGGGGAAATCGCTCACATCAAAGAGGTTAACCAGTCTAGTGCAGTCCTACTAAAAGGATCACCTTGTAGCATGGAAGCAGACTCAAATCATTATACATACTTTGTAGCTCACTGATTGCCTGAATCAGAGGACAGTAGAACAAGATGTTGCATGAGCAAGGACCTGACTTGTTTTCTTTTGTGTATACTAAGGCATTACAGACTCCGAGGGACTCTCTAGCCTTTCGATGCCTCCATTTCGAAAACTGTCTGCTCACTTCCTCCTTCATATCAAGCTGGATCTGTGTCTTTTTATTTTCTGCAAGCTCAAGTACAGTGAAAAAAAAGCTTCTGCTAGGCACAGTTTATTAAAAAAATACGTCAATCAAAAACTGGAAGAAATGTAAAAAATGCATATATTAATAAATATACATATGGCATCACATTTATTGCACAATAAATTAGCACAGAAGGTTTCATTTCACTGATGTATTCACATTGAGAAAGAAAACCTGTGTCTTTGTCTGTTGTCTGTATATTCTCTGTTAATGTTTCTTGCATTTATTTTTATACCATATTTAAAAAAGAACACCTTTTACTCCAGATGTATTAAAGTTGATCCTTCCTCTGTAAATTTGTGTATGTTTATATTGTTGTTTTATCTTTCATTAAAATATGCAGAGTCTCTTTCCTTTGGGAAGTTTGAGATTTTAATACTCAATCTGAAGATTAGTCCAGAGCAAAGCCATTCCCAAAAGTTACATGCCTTGTGCTTTCTAAAAAGTGACATGAAATGGCATTTTCTTTCTCTGAGTGACACCTAACCAAACACACTTTATTGATAATCATTTACTCTTCATTTTCTTTTTAGCAAGCTAGCAGCAGGGAGACCTTTCCAGCTTGCTCATCATCACATAAGCAAACTTTTCTTCATGCTAGATCAGGTCTGTAATGGTGCAGTCTACACAGTTTGCTCAATGATTCAGTTGCTGTCCAAGAGCAGATCAACTAAACTGCATTTTCTTAGGAATGGACGTGATCAAGTCTGGCTGAGAACATGAGTATGCTTTTGCTAAATATGACACCATTTCTTTCTCCTTGCAGTCATGTGTGCCACAGTGCAACATTTTAAGTTGAAGAGATGGTGGTTTGGAAGTGCTGAGACTTGAGCTCAAACCTTGGGCTGTAAATGAAGAAACCTGCAATTTTAACTCAGGGGCTCAGTTCAAGTGCACTGTTGTATGTGTGTCTAATAGTGATATTCATGTAAGAGATCTACTTATAGGTTCATAGGAGCTTGCAGACATTGTCCATGAGACAATGGATATAGAGCCTTCTGCTGCTAAATGGAGCTAGAGATGTAATATCTCTGCTTGCAGAAGAGAAGCAGCATTTTTGCATAATAGATGATGTAAAGATAGTGGCAGAATCTCCAAGTAGAAAAGCAGTGGTGTGAACTAAGGCAAATGACAAATAGCTCCGGGGCATTATATGGTGTGTAGGACAAATGTACTGAAAGAGCCTTTTTAGCCATGCACAGGATTGGCTCAGGACAGCCAGAGCCGGTACCATCTGTTGTACTCACTTTTGTGTGATATTGATAAACAGAGATCTTGTTCCAGAGGGACTGCTAAACCTAAAAATGTCATCTTTCCCCCCGCCCCCCCATTCCTGACACAAAACAAGCTGGCCGTAGACACAATCCAGCATTACATTTGAACAGATTAGTGCTGGAGTCATCTCATTCAGCACCAGATGCCTACCTGCGTTACTGCCTCTGGGACAGGGCTGCTGTGGGCAGAAGGGAGCTGAGCTGCCATAACCCTGACTGCAGCATCCCCAGAGAAATGGCCTCAATAAACCCAGGAACAAACACATTGTTCATCACCGTGAATGGCTTCTCCCCTGGTTTTTGCTTGGTTGAGATCTGGGGAAGGGAAGGGAATTCGGTTTTTTTTTTGTTGTTCTTTGTTTTCACATGCTGTGGTGTTTCTGGTTTCTAACTAGGATAATAATCACTGCGTTAAAGTGTTGCAGTTTCTGTCAGCACAATGCTTCCAAGCTGAGTTTTATCACAGAACACTGGTAATGCCCATGAGAGCTTGATTTTATCAAGAGCTCCATCTAGGTCAAGTCAAAATATTCACAGTCTAGGAGGCTAGATGAATTCTAATAAATAGTCACACTGAACCCCAGATCTTAAACTCTGAGATTTAATTTTCCTTTACTGCAGAAATGAGAGCTCTGAGGCATGAACTTGGGGCCAGGATATCCACAGAAATTTGAGCTCTGTTTCACTTTTCAGTGCCAAACGGAGATATTTATTTCCCAACTCCTGCTGCCACCGATTGCATCAGCTGGTATACTGCCTGCTTTTCCTTAGGATTTAACTAATTAGATACCAATGTCTGCTTTGAAGAATCACTCCCATCAAATAATTAACATTTCAGATTCACGCATTAAATATTTCATGCAACTTTACCATAAGGAAATTATTATTTTTATTTCTTCTCAAAGCATTTTGCAACATTGTCTGGACAAATACATGGATTATTTGTATCTCTAGACCCATTTCATTCTAGTTCTTCTTTTGCCTCAGTAGATATGAAGCTTATATTGAATGGCAGTCTTTTCCTGTATTTGCACAGGAATTAACACAATGACTACAAGGTAAAAGTATGCATTAAAGTAAGGATTTCAAAGTAGGCAGGGAGCTCTATCAAGGTTTCATTTGAGCCTGTGTTTCCAGTGATGCAACTCCACTATTACCTGTGATTGAATTTGGCTGAAAAAGAAAACCAAACAAAACCTGCTCTGCAGCCAGTTGATTTTTAAAGGGTTTATTTGAGATCTCTTCATCCTTCCACTGATCACTGTCATCTGTCAGTGCTGCCACAGTGGGAATGGGAACTCCTCGTAGGCACAATGTCCTTTTATATCCCCACTGAGAAAAAACAGTTGGTTTTTTTTCAAAACATTACGAAAATCCACTTCCATAAATTAGGATTAACCCAGGGTAAGGCTTATTTGTTCTTACTGCAGCAAGCATCAAACAGATGAAGTATAGCTTTGGTTACACAGTAGTGTACCCATTAGGAAGTCCAGTGAGGTCACAAATCTGTTGAGCAAAAATAAGAACCAAGGGAGAAACCCGATAGGAAGGGGCTGTGCTCTTTGCCTCCTGGGGAGAGTCAGCAGTCAGCACCTCCTGGCACCTCCCAGGAGGCTTGAAGCATCCTGCTTTTCTTTAAAGGAACCACTTGACCTGAGAACAGCAGAACAGTCATCAGACCTTGTGTAAGATGCCATTAAAAGTTGCTCCTTGAACCTACAAGACCAAAAAAGGAAGGAAAAGGCCTTAAAGAGGGAAGAGAGAAGGAGCAAAATGCTGAGCTGAAAGAGCCATGGAGACTGGCCAAAAATTAATGAGCTGAAAGTGAAGACAAAAGAAATGAAAATTAATTGCAGTGACCAGAATGGAACTGATGAGGGAGGAGAACTCATGCACAGAGCAGTTGGGTGCTGGAGAGGCAGCATGCCACTGTTGAGATGCCAGTGCCAGGCAGGGCTGCCAGCAGAAACCATCCAATGGCACCAGCTGTGGCTGCTCCTTCAGACATTTTTCTTCTGAAAGAAAGCTCTTAATACCAAATATACGGAATTGCTTTGTTCAAACTGCACCCCTAATATCATTTGAAATCGTAAGGCATAAATGCCAAGTAGTTCTTCAACAAATAACAAATAGGAGAGCAAAAAACAGTTCCAGAAAATGAGAACTGCAGGAATGCATTTAGAATATTCACTTATTAAAAATATGAATGAAAGCCAAAGCAGATGACTGAAGGGAGAGAAGGCTGTTTTATTTAACTAACAGTTGGGAATCGTCAGTGATTTTTTGTGGCTCTACCATTTATTTATCTTTATGCCAAGTTATTAGCAGCTGTTTGAATTTAGACTTAAAAATTACCATATTTTTAATTTGCTTTCTAGCTAGAGATGTCATGCATAGAACCAATACCACTGAACTACTAACTTAAGTGCATAAAAAATAGAAATTTTGCTAAAGGGAATTTAATAGCTACAGGGACCTTTCTAAAATAAGGTTTTAATCTGAAGATGTTCAAAGGAAATTGCCAACAGTTTATTTGAACATGTTCTATGTCCATGATTCATTTAAGTGTGTTGCTAAATAGTTCTGATTTGCCTTTTGATCTAAGATAAACAGATTAATGCTTTTGTCTCCTTTGAGTTGAAGATATGCTGAAGAAGCCCAATAAAATCTTCTTTGCTTCAGTTTATCCCTCTAGTTTTTGATGAAGCTGCTGCATTGACTGTAATAAAATGTCCCCTCTGTTATTGCTTAAAATGGCCACTGCAATGCTGCAGCCTCTTTTGGTGTATCCAAGGAGATACATCCTTACCGATGTGGGTTGACTCCTTTGCCCTCCTCCAGACTGGAGATGTTATAGATATTTTATGGAGGACAGCACCACAGTGCTCCTGCCCTGGCTCTAAGGAGGAGGACTGTTGTTCATGTTGTGCCAGCTGTGTGTCTGCCTATACACAAAGAGGCAGAGCTTGCCCCCGTTGCAATAAATGGTGGCTGCTGAACTGTGTTGGCTTATGAGGCACTGTGATTTGCCAGTCCTTTGTGGTAACACATAGGTGTTGTTCACATTGGTGTGTAAGGCATTAATTCCTGGGTCAGTGAGATGTCTTCAGTTGTTCGTTGAGTAGCATCCTAGTTTTTCAGACTGTGCTTTTCTTTTACCAAGGTCACTTTTTTTTTTTTTTAATTTAATTTAACCTGTGCAATACTTGTATTCCTTTTTCCTGCTGGTATTTATTTGCATGAGTGGGAGTGAGGAATCGACTGTTCAAACTTCTTAATGCTTAAACATGAATGATAGTGACATAAGGGATCTGTATATGCAGATCATTAAGAGAAATTGCCATGACAATAGACTCCGAGAACCTGCAAAAATTATTTACAAGGGTAAACATGGATAATAAATATCAAATAATATTCAGACACAATTGTAAATGTTACCTTGTTAGTGGCATTTGCACAATTTTTATTATACATATCCTCTGCTCACAAAATATACTCTGATGCATTCACCTTGTCTCTCTCTTTTTTTTTTTTTTAATTGATTTTGTAATTTCTCATTAGGTTGATGTCACTTTTTCAAAACAAATGCTGTTTACCACCCTTGCTATTAACCCTGTGGCTGCTGCTTCTGCTATGTCATGTGAATGAAGCCTCTCATTATTCATGTAACTTTTCTATCCACCTCTTTACTCCTTTCCTCTTTTCCTTTTTGAAAGATGCACAGCAATGGCA